CCCGCAGCCTGCGGGCCGCCGTCCTCGCTGCCGCCGTCCTCGTCCTCGTCCTCGTCGTCCTCGTCCTCGTCGTCCTCTCCGCCCTCGGCCCCCTCAGCCTCGTCGCTGTCCCCTTCCGAGTCGGTCTCCCCCAGCCACTCCTGAGCCGCTGCCAAGCCGGGGACCCGAAGTCAGTGCAGCGGGAGGGCGAGGGAGGGCGCCCAGGCCCCACCTCGCAGCCTGGCTGCTGCGGCCACAGGGGCGTCAGTCCCTCCGGGAGGCTCCCGCAGGCGAGGCCCCGTGACACCCCCGGCCCGGGCCGCACCTGCAGCCTTGGGTACACGGGGGGGAGGGGGGGGTAGTGCCGAGGACGCGCCCACTCACCGGGGTCCATTTCCACCAGCACCGTCCACGCCTCCATCTTGTGTAAGTCCAGGCAGTACAGGTCGCCGAGGGTGACCTGGCGGTCCCCCGTCTCAAACATGCCCCCGTACAGGTAGAGCCGACCCTGCTTGACGGCCAGCATGGCGTTGGAGCGGGGGCTGGGCTCCGTCGGGGGGCCGCCCGCCTCCTCGGGGCTGTCCTCCTCCTCCTCAGACGGTGGCCGTGCAGCGGTGCCCGGGGCTGCGATCACCTGCTTAATGGTGACCACGGTCCCGTCCTCCGCCACGACCTCTTTCACCACCTCCAGGGGCTGCTGGCTGCAGGCTGCCACCGCGGCCTGGGCGTCGGCGCCCCCAGGCTCTTCTGCTCTCCGGGCCCGCCGGCGCTTCCTCTGCTCCGACTTGGGCCCCTGCGGGAGGCGCAGAGCAGACGGGGTCAGTGGGGGCCTGGGTGCCCCCCGGCACCGCGACACAGGAGCCGGGCTGTGGGCTGGGGCGGGGCCAGGGCACAGGCTGGAGCCGCTCGCCGCCCAGCTGCTGACCCTGAGCCACCCACCAGCCCACGGGAGCCCCTCGCAGGGCAGCAGAGCGCCTCATGCTCACACCCACCCACCTGGTGCCCGCGGGCCACGCCCTGCCACAAGGCACACGGCCCTGCTTGGGCTTCAGGACCTGGTATCGGAGGCCACGGCCCCATGTGCCGGGCCAGACCCCAAGTGCCCCCGGGGAGCACAGGCTGCGTGGCCGGGAGGGCCCTCGCCCTCCTCAGAGACCACGGCCCCAGCAGGTGGAACCGAGGCCACGCGGGGGCCACTGAGCCTGGGCTGGGCAGCCCGCCCGGGAAGCCGCGATGCCAGTCGCCAGCCCTACCTTCAGCTGCCCCGCGAACCAGCGGTTCCTGATGGCGTCGTAGAAGTGCAGGTCGTTGAAGAAGTCGCCCTCCAGGCTCTCCTCCTCCTCCTCGTCACGCACGCCACCGAAGAGCAGTGTCTGATGGCTTGGGGTGACGGCCACAGAGAAGCCAGACCGTGGGGTGGGCTTGACGCCGGACGGGCTGAGCCGCGCCCACGCCCACCTGCCTGCCAGGGAGCAGAGCGGGTGAGCCGGCAGGCGGGGGCACCCCTCCCAGGCCTGGGATTCGGGGTGACAGGTGCTCCCTGAGGCCAGCTCCACCAAGGGGCCGCGGGGGTCCCCCTGCAGGCGCAGGCCCGCCCGTCAGGCGGGGACCAGGGTGGCGCCGGGAAAGCCACCCAGGCCCCCGGAGCGTGACTACCGGGGGGTGGCAGCAGCACACAGACACGGGGCTCGCAGCGCCAGGCGCCCCACGGCCACCAGGGCAGGGCCTCGAGCAGCTGGCAGAGCCGTGGAGCTGGGAGGGGGCAGGCTTGGGCCCCCCGGCCACTGGGCCGGGGCACGGGGCTCCGGCGGGAGGAGGCGCCCCCAAGCGCTCGCCTTAGAGTTGGCAGCGCGCGGGCAGGGCCGGGCAGACCACTGAGGCCTGGACCCGCTCCTGGACAGGCTGCCCAGCCGCCGCCCGCTTCCCACGGGGTGCACCAAGCCAGCGGGGCCCGGCCCGGGGGAGCCGACTCGCACGCCTCCCCCCCGTCAGGGCCTGCGGGCTCGGGGCTGGCCTCTTCCAGGAGCAGCCAAGGGATTGTAGTGCCCGGGCATGCTGCCCAGGGGCACGGCCCTGTCGCCCTGTCCTGTGCAGGGACCGTCACATCCCACCCTTAGAGCCCTCTTCAGAAAGTGCCGAGCCGGACTGCAGTGCGCTGACCCCAGGCCCCAGGCACAGCCGGCGGGCACCACCCTGTCCACTGAGGGCCCTCTCCCGCCACGGCCTGCAGCCTGCGCTGCCAGGGGCTCTCGGCGGGTCCTCCTCAAGGCCCCCAAGTGCCAGAGGCCCTTCACTGTCCGTGCAGTCTCCCAGCAGCTGGGGCGGGGCTGCGGTGGCCCGCAGTTGGGCCCGCTCGGGACGCCCGGCCAGCGCCCGCCCCACACCTGGACACCCACCTTCACCCTCCGACGTCAGCAGGAACATGTCTGCGTGCTGGGTGCCTCTGTCCACGTCTTTCTTGACTCTCTGCAGGGGAAGGAGCCGGGGAGCGTGAGCGGCCTGCCCCGCCGGAGTCATAGC